CCCCCCCCCCCCGGCTGGCCTGCTCGCCCCCAACTGCCCCGCCCCCCGCTGGCCTGCTCACCCCCAACTGCCACCCCCTGCTGGACTGCTCACCCCCTATTCTCACCCCCCCCCCACTGGCCTAATCACCCCCAACTGCCCTCCCCTCCTGGCCTGATCGCCTCTAACCACCTCTGCCTTGGCCCCGCCACCATGGCTTTGTCCAGAAGGTCTCCGGTCTAATTAGCATATTACCCTTTTATTAGTATAGATGTTTCTCTCTCCCTCTCCCTCTCCCTTCCTCTCTGAAATCAATAAAAATATATTTTTATTAAATTAAAAAGGAAAACATTATTACTCCATCTTTCCCTTGGGTGGGTGCAGAGTCAGCACAAGGAAACCATGTCTCAGGCAAGTGAATAAAAATGAATTTAGATTATGTTTATAGCCAAGGAAAGGAGGAAAGAAGACACACTGAACAATCCTCTACTGGAAACATTGCTAAAGTGTTTTTAAACTGAAGATTATACCACCACTTAAGATATTTTTTCTCTACTATTTTGCCCAGCATATTACAAAACTGCATCTAGGACTGAAGTAGCAGATTGCCTCAAGAGCAAATGACAATATTTGTAGCAGAAATGCTGGCAACCAGCAGCACAGATGGGTTTCTGCACTGCAATCATCAAACTGGGGCTCTAAGAATAACTCCACCCACTGCACCAATGCTAAACTGCTGAATCCAAAGTCAGAAGGGCTCATTATTCCATAGTTTTCAACCACCTCCTTACCAAAAGCACATGCACCTGCCTGAACCTCCTCTGCCTAAGAAGGGCTCTGAACAATGAAGAAAAAGAGGGAGAGCAGACCACAGTGAGACGTTCTCCAGGCATCAACAGGTAGTAAATGGTCAATTATCCACAAAAGGCAGGAATACAAAAATGATGGAAATGTCCATAATAACTACTAATACAGTTCCAAAGGCAGTCCTGCACCTACAGCACAGCTCACTAGACAAAAAAAACAAATCTCCTTCAAATGCTTGAAGAAAATAGCCACCTTTAAACAAAGGACTTGGCTCTTCCACATCTGCTCTACTGACTGACAACTGAGATGTGCTATTCTTCCTCTGTTCCTCTGCAATTTCTACCAAATGGTGGAAAGGCAAATTAAACTTAAGGAGACATTAATTATGAAACCCATCCAATTAAAGTACTGTCTATGGCATTCACAGTATCCTTTCCCACCTTTGAAAATGGCCAGGATTTCATTGTAGAAATAAATGGGTTTCTGCTTTGTGCTACCTCGGCCAACCTCCAAGTAAACCAGGGGGTCTTCCATACAAAAGAGAACCAATGTACAAACTTATTTAGGATACAACAGTGGCTTTTCAAATAATCTTCAAATTACATAATGCAGAGTACAGAATTATGCTCCACATCCCCATATCTCCTGAGGTGCAAGAGGCGATCAACAAAAAAGGTTAGGGGTTCAGGCAAACAGAGTCCTACATTTAAATAAATGTTAATTTTACCCTAAAGAAACTAACAGTGGAGGATTAATGGAAGGCTAATCTCCTGCCTTTCCTCTCCAAATGATTAGTATGTTCCTAGGACAGGCTCTGGTTAAAATTCCCTGACCTATATATACTTCTCAGGAAAGTAAGGTATATCTGGAGGATGGACCTCGACTTTCATTTTATTACCATGCCTTCTTTCACCTGAATCTGAATAAACCCAGTGATGTCACAAGTGAAATAAAATCCCTGCCTACCTTTTCATTTTCCACTGAGTTAGTAAAAAACTTAGTGAAAATGAGGCCCTTAAACCCTCCACTAACAGAAGCAATCCCAAAGTCTAGAAAAAAAATATTTTTAAGCTTTGGAATACATCTTCATCTTTATATTTGAGGAGTGTGTATAAGATATTGAGGGAAATTTACTCCAAGCCAAAAAGTCATCCTAAGAAGACCTCACTTAAAAGGGGGCTGGGAGCCCTAACCGGTTTGGCTCAGTGGATAGAGCATCGGCCTTCGGACTGAAGGGTCCCAGGTTCGATTCCAGTCAAGGGCATGTACCTTGGTTGTAGGCACATCCCCAGTAGGGGGTGTGCAGGAGGCAGCTGATCGATGTTTCTCTCCCATCGATGTTTCTAACTCTCTGTCCCTCTCCCTTCCTCTCTGTAAAAAATCAATAAAATATATATTTTTAAAAAAGGGGGGGGGGGGGCTGGGAAACAATAGGTTTATTTCTCAGTTATCCATCTAATCTCCTCAACCCACAATGGTAGAAGGCACCAGCCTACCAGAGCAATCCTCAACTAAATATTCTCTAGAGAATTCAGAATGGAGCCTTTCTTGAGAGAATAAAGGGCAGGTCCCTCACAGAGGCAATAAAATCTGAGTCCACAAGACTGATTAGAAATGCCACTGACTGCAAACTGCCCATAGGACAGTCAGTTAAGACAGAGCATCAAGAAATGACTGCAAGAGTATTCTACACTAAAATAAACTTTTAACATTCCTATCTACTCTCATAAACAATTAAGTCCAATTCTCATCAATTCTAAACAAAAAAAGATCGGCATGAAATTTGTACTTTCTCATCATTCAAGGCCTCACTAATAATGACGTGTAATTTTTTAAAAAATCTCACACAAGCCACAATCGGTATTATTTTTAGAAACAACTTTTATTTCCATTTCAATTTACTCAAAATTCAAAACTTGCTAATAATAGAAACAGTTTTTAAGTGCCATTAAAACCGGAAGTTGAAGTAAAATAAAATATAGTATTTCAGAGTCAAACTCAAGGATCTGTGTTGTAAAATATTTGATCTTTGTTCTCTCTCTGTAAAAAAAAGGAAACATTTTTTAGTTTGGTTAATTAACCACAAACTTAAGTCAAAAAACGAACACTGCTGCCTCCTTAATAAATCAGAATAGATTAACAGAATCTTCTGAATTTATTCTGTTTCAGAACAAATTTCAAAGCCACCACAATAACTCTGTCTGAAGTTTAAGAAAAAGGAAATGCATTTCTGTATGTCAAAACTAGAACAATTTTCAGGAATCCCATTGTTCCCATGTGCAGGGAGCTCAGCTGTTCTGAACTGGCAGGAGTTGAGACAGGAAGAGCTGTCAGACTTCTTGGGCTGGTCACCAGAGCATAACTGAACAAGAACCCAAAACAGATGTTTGAGGGCTACTTGGAAACAACGATGTGAAAACACAAATACTAGTATCTTGGTTTTACTCTTCTGCCATAACTGGCAATAAAGAATTAAGTTCAAAGTCTGTGATCTTTTTCTATGGCTGCCTCTCTCTTATCTCCCCTGCTGCTTATGGCCCTTACTCAACTCCTCCCAGTAACAGTATTATTTTATAACCTCTACTGCAAGTCTGAAAATGTAACAGAGATTCAGAAGCATCATTTTTGTCCAAGAATGACTATTCCAACACAGTGACAAAAAGAAGCCCACTTGGATAAACAAAAAAAATTCTATTTTCACAAAACAAGGAACTGAATTAGACTAGTTACATCTAATGACTTCTAAACCATATGATGCAAACAAAACACCCTAAGAGAAATTTACATCATGGCCTAAAATGAACAAGTAGGGAAATCCTCTCCTTGCTGAGACTCTTGGGGTTCCTTCATACATAATGACTCCTGGCAGTTACCGTCCCTTGAAAGAACTTTCTTTCCAAATGACCATTATCCAAATGCCCACTCCTTCAAGAGTTAAAGTAAATCAAGTCTGAGAGAAACATTCATCTGTCCATGCGCAGAATGGAGACAGAGATTGCTTTCAGTTTGCTTTGAAGGAAGTAGAGCTGGGGAAAGGCACCATGCGTAGGAGAGGGCGCTAAGTAGGCAGCCAAGAAATCTGCTCTACCTGGTATCACTAACTAGCCTGGTGACCTCAGGCACAGCTTTATCCTGTGACTCAAATGCCTCTAGTAAACTGATAGCCTTCAAAGACCCTTCAATTCCTTCCTGTAAAAGTCTGTGTGAATCTAAGAAAACAGAACCCCATTTTAGTAATCCAACCAAGTTTGAGGAAACAGAGGGATCTAAGAATACTCTACAGGATAGATACTAACTATTCCAAGTGGTAGCCCAGCAAGAACTAAAATATGGAAATGCAAAACCAAAGTTAATGAAATATAAAAATGAACCAAAAACAGCAAACCAAATTTAGTTTTTCATCTCTGCAGCATAGGTTATCCCAGCAGTCACAAGCCCCATAACTTGTTGGCTCAGATTTGCTCTGAATGGAAGCAAAACAAGTATACGAAGATATACTGAAATTACATTCCAGTTTAAATAACATACCAAGAACTGTACTAATGCCTTCTGTGTGGCTTTTTTTTTTCCCTTTCTTTCTTTCTTAAGAAAATAAAATTGTTTGGGGTGTGGGTGGACTTAATTTAACTAACTGAACATTTCACCTGGCACATGACAATTTTTTATTTAACATTCCACTTTACAAGTTGGCCAACACTATCCTCTTCTACTTAATGACTACTCTCCTCTTCCTTTTTTTAATTCCCTTCTGGTTTTTAAGTTAGGTATTTCAAAAAGCACAATCAATAGGTTCTGGAAGACCTCTGGAGGAGTGGAACATGACTGATGGATGTAAGATGAGTGAGGCCAAAAGGACTGGCAGTCTCAAGCAAAGAGATGACCACTCAAGGCTTTCATCAATAGTTCATCATTTCTGCTCTGCAAATCAACTGAGAAACAAAGAGGCCCTTCTGCCCACACGTCAAAAGGAAAAAGGAGAAGCACTGAGAAATCATAGAGGGGAACATACACTTTGGAAGAGGGCATGTTGGTAGCTTGCTGCTGAAAGATGGCAGTGCTGTAGTCCGTTTCCTAGTGGCTCCCACCTTCCAGGTATATAGCACCATGACTAGGTCCAGACTAGGCAGTAGCTCATATGGAGAAGGCAAAAAGAAGAAACTACCACTGGCAATGCGAGCTATGGCCAAACTCGGCAGAATTGCAAACTAGCTGAAAGGAAACTAGAATTTTGAGCAACTGAAGCCCCAAAGACTTCCAAGACAATAGGGGGTAATTACAAGGTTAGTTGAAGGTAGCCAGAGACCCAGAACAGGAATCCTAGTGTTATTCTTATTCAGCAGGCCAACCAGCTAGAGCACCCAAGACCACTGGGAAGGACAGAGAGCAGAGTGGATGCTGACAAGAAACACCCTATAAACTGAGAAAACACAAACCCATTAAAGGTCAGTCACGTCGTAATCTTATTTTTGTTAATCCTTGTTTTCTTGGGATGAATGTTAAATATCTAATTGAAAACTGGATGAAAAGTCAGGAAATAGTTCCTTCTCCTTCCTTGAAGGGCAGGAAGAATTGTAGTTCTTTCTATCTCCTAGGTCTCAATGTCAGTCTGAAGAGATATGGAATAATTGAAGACCCTGCACAGCAGTCAGCCTCTAAGATGTCCCTAGGATCAACTCCTGATATTCAAGCCCTGTGTCACTTCCTCCCCTCCAGCTACCTAGCTAATAAGCTGGGTCCAGGATTCCTGACCCACAGAAACTATGAATAAGGACTATGTGTTATTTTAAACCACATAAGTTTTGCAAGACTTTGTTATTCAGCAATTGATAACAAAACTATCCCATTTCATAAATGCCTTCAATATAAAAATTTAAGTAACTGAAACTAGTATTTCCTTAAGTACAAAGCCATCCAACTGGATATTCAGCTACTTCCCCCATCTTTGGGCTCAAAGACATCATTGGGGCCCAGGATCATGAGAGAGTGAGATAGCACAGCCAGCCAAGAATTGACACCATGTGTTCTTTTTCCTTAATACTTATTTTTGACAAGGGAATGCACGTATGTGGTAAAAATTTAAAATATTCTAAATAAAACTAACCATTTTAGTTGTTTGCAAAAATGTCACCACAATAAGGACACACAGGAACTCAGGATCCCACCCTTTTCTTGCTGAACTTTTCCAAAGCACTTAGCAACATAACATACTTCACATTACTAGTATACATATCTAATTACTCTCTCTCCCTCCTGCTGGGACTGTAGACTTACGTGGTTGTCAATTTTGTGATGCTCTTTTCTTCTGGGCCTCTAGTCCCCAGGATGGTGCCTAGCGTGTACAAAATATTTACTACATATTGACTGGGTGAATAAAAAGGAGATATAATGAGAAAAGTCTCTGCATATTCATGACATGGCTACTGTTGTGGGAACCCATATATACTTTTTAAAATGTAAATTACTTTTCATCCTGAATTTGATGTCTTTAAGAGCTCCAAAAGAAAGATAATTTTTCTGCAAAAACACTGAACCTTGCCCTGGTGCATATCAGATGAAACAGCTCATAAAGAAGAACTTTTCTTTCAATGATATTTATGAAATCCTACTTTTGATAAGAGGTTCCTATACATATTTTACCTTAAGTTAAAATCATTACAGATATTTCTAAGTGTGACTGCATCATCTTCCCAATCACTGTTTTGTTTAACCAAGTCTTCTATGGAAAAAACTTTAACTTCTTACACCATTCCCATGAGCTGCAGGTTGTATGTTATCTCCCAGGGATAGCATGTAACTGAAAACCATGGCAAGGACTATTGGAAAATTTTGGTTGCTATCACTAAGTTAAAGCTTTGAAAGTAGATTAAATGAAAAAGATTATTATTAGACTGGCTGAATTCTTAAACTGACATCCCTCAACATTATGCATGTTTCACTCTTCCAAACTGGGTATTCCATAGTGTGCAATCCCCATCTCATTTAATCTTCATGCTACTTTCACCTCTTCCTTCAACAGCTCTCAGATTACTAAACTCCAGACAAACTAATTTGAGGACCTGTGTACCTGCCCTCCATTAAAAAACAAACAAACAAAAAACATAGCCCTAGCCTGTTTGGCTCAGTGGATAGAGCATCGGCTTGCAGACTGAAGGGTCCTGGGTTTGATTCTAGTCAAGAGCACGTATCTCGGTTGCAGACTCCCAGCCCTGGTCAGGGGTATGTGGGAGGCAACCAATCGACGCATCTCTCTAGCATTGGTGTTTCTCTCTGTCTCTCCCTCTCCCTTCCACTCTCTCTAAAAATCAATGGAAAAAATATCCTCAAGTGACAATTAAAAACAAAACAAAAACAAAACATCAAAACTCAGGACATAGCCCTGGCCAGGTGACACAGTTGGTTGGAGCATCCTCCCATCAACCTAATAGTGGCCGATTCAATTCCCAGTCAGGCACATGCAGGAAGCAACCGACAGATATTTCTTTCTGTCTCTCTGTCCATGTCCTTGGGTGAGGATTAAAAACAATTAACAACAAAAAAAGAAAACCTCAGGACACAGAGAAAGTTGCTTCTTTTGTGAACTAGACCTACAGTATCTTTCAAGGAGTTGCCTTAATTTTTAAAAGCAACAGATCAATTCCAGAACAAAGAACACTGGCTTTTTTAATAGCAGTGAGAGCAGGGAAGAATTACTAAACCAGAGGGTGCCTTGATTACTACATTGCTCAGGAACATTTTCTGAATAGCCCCAATTCTACAACTAGAACTGTAACATCAGTGACACCTGCCTTGGAAGTAAGCTCCTGAAGAACTAAAACTCTGTCTTACACTTGTTTGTCTTTCTGTAATATTTACCACATTCAGGACTTGAACTTTTAATAACTGTAAAGAATCTAAGATATGCCCTCTTTTTTCAATTTCCATAATCTCAATTCCCATTTTCTGGCTGGTCCCTATTATCTTGCATGAAATATTAAAAGAGTGTATGGGAGCATTTCTGGGTCTCACATTATTAAACAATAAAAAAAGGTACACGGCTTGTA